TATTTTTATTTTCAACGTACGTAATTTATAATTTGATAAGTTTTTATTTATTATTCTATGGTATATTATAATTGTACTTTTTTTACTTAAGTAGTTATTATAGTTAATTGATTCTTGATTTTATAAGTACAACATTAAGTATTACGTTTTTATATTAATTAATACAGTCAATTGTGTTAACTTAATTTAAATTATATAATAATAATGTATTATAAATGTAACTAAACTTATCGAATGTCAATGTATGACTTGTATTTTAATAATATAGTTAGCGTTAGGTAACATAGCGTTTACATTAGTTAAGTAATAGTTAGATATTTACGCCTTCTTCATGCAATGTATTTTTAAGGTTTCATTATAACGCATATACATTTTATAAATAAATAATTAAATAATTATTCAGATGCTGAATAATATAATAAAATCTTGTTAATAATATAAACACCAAATTAAAACGAACATTATATACATAATTAAGGTAGTACCTACTTCTTCAGGTTAGGTATATTGTTATAATAAACATGCGATTAAGCAAAGGAAAAATGGTACAGAAGTTATTAGTCCCTTATAATTTAAAAAAAATATGCTATTTAGCTTAGTTATAATTATTTGATTAATAAATCAGTTTTGTAAACAAATTTGTATATTTGAGATTTGAATAAAATACATTATCAATTGTAAATTCATAGTTATTTAGAGAGCATTAAATTATTATGAAAAACATGTATATAATACACGATTTAATATTATCCATTTATATTATTTTTTTTTTATTTTTAACAGTATTACTTAAGTATTAAATTTATGTTTGACTTAAAATGTCTAAATAATATATGTATACTATGAGTATAAAGTACACATTATAAAATAGTTGTATTGTATACAATGCATGTATATGTATAATAAACAAACATATTTTGGTTTGTGTAAAGATTTTTTGGGAGTTTGTTGGTAGACATAAGATAAACAAGCGGATTATAGTTAGTATGTATTTAAATTTTGATGAAAACATTTATGAACTATGTTAGATAGTTCTGTAGTTGCTTTATCCATAAGTGATTTTATGTAAGGCAATGTTTAATGTAAGAAACTACGAGTGTATGTTAGTATGTATAATAGATTGTTAATGATTGAATTAGCCTGATATAAGAGGGTTTGGCAGGATCCCAGATTACAATACCTTAGATTTAAATAGACCTTATGCTTTCTTGTAAATTAGAAATTTGTTATATTATTATATTTTGGGTTAGAGAAAAGGCAGAGAAGATGTAATCGAATATTGACCGATTTTATGTTTTCCCTATGATAATGACACCAGGACTCAAATTAAACATGTATCTTATGTTGTATTTAAATATTTAATTTCAGTTCGTACAACGATAGGTTTATTGTTCATAATTTTAGCTGAGGCAGTTTCAAAGAGATTTTTTTTTAAATTAAAGTGACTAGTCCACATTTTTCAGTATTAACATTGGTTTTATATTAGATTTATTTAATAAAATGTATAATATTATTTTATTTAATTCATCATAATATCGCAAATGCATAATTGTATTTTTGTTATACTGTAATTAACGACTAACTTGAAATGAGATTTCCATTGGGGGCTAGAAGAGTCGTCACTAGTTTAGACTAAGATTTAGTAAATTATTATTGACGCAAGGAATTCTAATTATTTCGATTTTATTTAAGTTAACATTTTTTTTTTTTTAAATATAATTTTTCCACGTTTTTTAGTTACAGTTTTGGTTTGCCAAAACATTATTAGTTGTTTTTCAATTTTGATTTGATTTTTGATTCTGTAAAGGTTTAGGTATAGGTTCAAATTTATGTTAAATAACTTTAAAATTTTTAATCTCATTTTTATAGATATAATGTTATAAACGGGACGTAATTGTTTTGACCATTGCCGTTTTTCACCAAAGTTTATATTCGGAATTCCGTTAAATAATTAATAAACTATTTTAGTCATTTTTTTTTTTTAGAGTCTTTTATATCAATTTTCTCCCGAATTATTATTATTATTTTATCGTGGGCAAAACCTGTTATTTATAAAAATTCACTCACAGTTTTTACGTGGGTTAAGAATTCGGTAAATTAAGTACAGACCATTGTATATTGTAAAATATCAAGTGTGAATGAACCAAGAACTTCATAAAATATAATTAATTTAAGACAAATAAAAAGCATAAAATATATTCATAAATACATATTCATGGACACTTAATTAAATTCAAGTTTTTCATAAAATTTCTTTTTCTGTGTTAAATGTGCTAAAACATGTTTGGTTTTTTTGTACTTTTTATGTACTATTATTTTTTTTTATGATTTAATAATATGTAGTTTTGATAATCATGATGTCTATGATACATAATATGTACATTTAAACAATGCATTTTAAACTCTGATTCTATTAAATTTTACAAAACAATAATATTATACTCATACTTTAATACGCTGCGAATCAAATATAAATTCAGCTATATGTAAAATAGCGTATATACTGGGAAGTACATATGCTATGTGAGTAACAGTAATAAAATAAGTTATAAATAATTATTTATGACCAATAATGTGTTACAAAGTGAGATGCTTATATCCTAACTATTACGATTTGATTAATAAAATAATTTTACTGTGAAATGCTTTCTTAGTGTTTTAAAATATATTAAACTAAAAAAAAAAATTACACTAATTATTGTTTAGCAACCAAATGAGTTTTGGAATTAGGAAGCAAGGAGGGAGCAAACATAAAAATGTATTTGTCGTGAAAATACTCCTGTAACTATATAACTTGTATTATTTTCGAATTAATTAATTTAATAATAATATTTTTTAAGCATTTAAAACAAAAAAAAAATAAATAATTTTAAATGCTTTTTTTAAATTTATTAAATAATTTATTATAAACATTAAACACACACAACAAATTGAATAAGTATTTTTTTTTCTGATATTGTTACAAGACATTTTAATCATATGAAAAACTAAAACAATAAAATAAAACTATTTTTAATAATTATACGTATCCTATTTTAATAATAATTTTCTATTAATGTCAAATAATAATCTATAGTTGATTGGTCCCGGAAATTTTATCGTGCATTTGAAACGTTAATAATTTAACTTAAAAAATGTCAACTAATAAATTGATTTAAAATCAGTTTTCGACTTCTATTTATATGAAACTTTTAGTTAAAAAAAATTACATATTTATGCTTAAATCGAATTTTGTTTCTTGTGAAATAATTTCAATCAACCTATAGTTACAAGTGAAAAGTAGTTTTTCTATAATATGTTTCACAATCAGAATGATTTGAACTACAAGACTTACATTTTACTGGGTTTCAGTCACGGTCATTCTTTCAGTGGCCTTTTAGCCTCATACGAGCTTATTCTCTCTGTTAGTGATCCAAATATTATGCTCCCTGGGGACATAGGTAACATGTCCAACTGCAATGCATTACTAGTAAATATATAAAGGACTTAATGTATGGTATTTCTATTCTTCAAACAAACAAAAAAATTTAACACTTCACTTTGCTCCATTACACTCTACTCACACTATCTTTATTCTATCCAAATGCTAATATATGGCCTGTTGAAATTAAACTTGTTTCGCCCCTTTAGTATATATTAATCCGGGATATTTTACAAACGTATTTTAAACGAAAATAGTTATGTGATTTATGACAATAACAATAAATATTAAGTAATACATTGATAATAAAACAAATAAAAATAAATACAATTGTGTTTATAGCTTAAGTTTTTGATTAAATGATTAATATGCATAATATTATAATTTTCCTGGTATTTGTCATTTGAAAAAATGAACAATACACTTTACATAGATAAAATATATATTGAAATATAAGACATAGCTCTAAAAATTATGTTAATTTTAATATTCTGTTTATTTTTGTCAATAATTATACGCACTCCAAAATATTGTTTTATTAACTGAAATAATATTATAATTAAGTTTATTTGATAAGTATTTTCAACGTGGTTTATCAGTTGTTTAAATGAAAAATACATTAAAACTGTTCTAAAATTTTCTAGTTTGTTTATTTTTTAAAAAGGAAATAAGTTATACCCAGATGAAAATACAGATGAATAAAAACTATGAGGAAAACAAATTAAGAAAATATCCCCTCCCCAAATCTACTGTATTTATCTGTGTTTAACACATTTCAAAAAAATTAACTTATAGTTGTACTGACAATTATTAGTATTCGTTGATAAGGTTTTTAATTATTTTGAATTAATAAATTGTATAACTTATTAACAAGCAACATCAACAATTAGAATTAAAAATATGAGTCTGTAATATAATCTTAATATGTCATGGATTTGTAAGAAAATGGTTTATAAGTTTTTTTAATTAAAGTATAGATTTTACTTTCTACTATTGATTTTATTAAAACCTTAAATTATAATTTTATTAACAATAATATAATTAAATGTTTTATTATGATTTATGATTAAGTATTCAAATCAAATTTGAAAAATAGTTGTCATATACACATTAATCATTTTTAAGAACAATTTAATTGTTAATTGTTATGGTAATGATATTATACTATATTTATAAAGTACATAATGAAATTAAACATCTATAGAAAATTTTAATTTTTAAAATCTATTTTTTTATTCTTAATATGAATTGTTTTAAAATATTTTTTGCGTGTTACATTTAGCTGACGTATTTTTATGGTTTGACACTTTTTAAACATCCATCAAACTAAAAATAATTTAGCAAATGATATTTAATTTTGTTGCTATAAATGTATTTATAGAGCTATGTCTCCCTAGTTGAATTAAAATTAAATAGTTCTAATTTTCCTATAATTATGTTTTATTATGTTCGAATTATAAGCTAACTAACTAATTTTCGCTTAGAAACGACATCCAAAATACATCATAGTGATCATGTATAATATTATCATTACAATGATCATAATTATCTAATATTATTTAATAACATTTATGGAATATATTTTCTAACATTTAGATAATGCTTAAAAACAATAATTTAAGATGAATGTTTTGATAGTATCATATTAATCAGATAGGTGCTAATGTTTAAATATGAATATAATCTTAAAGTAAACAATAGATAATGTAATCAGATTCATTATTTTATGAACATCCAATAAAGCAGGAGCGGCCAAATAGTAGATCGCAAACGATTTAAAGTCGATTGTGTTAGAATTTATTTTTAGGCTACGCACATGAAAATTAATTATGGTGGTATTGTAACTTAATAATAAAACATTTTTTTTTATCGAAATTAATCCTCAAAGGTGAAATATATTTTTAGTAGATCGTGTCCAAAAAAAGTTTGGCCGTCCCTGCAATAAAGCATCGACTTGATAAGTATTATAATTTATGTATGTAATTTTCTATATTTTGTAAGCCACACACAATTGCCTTATCTAATTGAACATAAATATGGATAATGAATAGACATACAAATCATTATATCTTCGCTGAATTTTCCAGTGTTTGTTTTAACCTTAATGTATAGTTGAATCATTGACAAATAAAGAGTGTAGCGAGACAAAAAATTAAGATTCACTTTAAAATTTAAATACTACTTAATTAATTCGTTGCTTGGGCAACAAGTAAACATTATAAGCTTAATGCGTAGAGCACATTGAAACACGAAAATATTCTTAACATTGAATATAAGGTGACAGACGGCATAGTATTGTAGTTGGTATTGTGAGAGGTTAATCGATTTTCAGACCAATACATTTTTTATGTTTATCAGAAATACATTAATAAGCATAATATCGTTGAAGTTTCCGGTGTGTAATTTATTTAACTAAGCGAATGATTGGTTAACGGTAGAACGTGTGTCAGTGTCGAAGGATACGTGAAATCGCATTACTGCGTGTTACGTTATGTTTGTTATTCAGATTCGCGTGCGTCAAAAAAATAGCGAAAAACGAAGATTAGAATTTTTCAATTTCAAAATCTACGCGGGCGTTTATCCAAAAGCATTATGTTTTATGTGTATTTCGTATATAATTTTTTATTGTACGAGTAATCGTGAGATTATCGTATACAGAGTATATACTGTAATAATTCGTACGCGTAATAATTCTTGTTGTCTGTCACCCGTTCACGCGAAAACTATTAATTAAATATTGTTATTATTATTTTAAAGACGATGTGTTGAATTAACAGTGACAGCGCATCTGGCGGATAAAGATAGGTAGACACATAAAATATGACATTATAGACAGACGAAGGATTATAATATTATAGAGAGACAGGGAGAGAGAGTGAGAGAGAGAGAGAGAGAGAGAGAGAGAGAGAGAATAAAACAAAAACTGTTGAGTTTTGAAATAGAGGAGTGTGATGTATATATCGTTATGACATATTTTTATTATTATTATTGAGACATGTTTATTGTTGTTTGTCGGTGCCGTCATTCTTTTCCTCGTTCAAGCGTTTTCTGGTCGCAAAACCACGGACCCTAGCCTGTATCTTGACGGCTGCTTGGACCAGCGCTTCCGCTTCGGCCACGTCGTCCACTGCGGACACTTTGGTCGAATTCGTCGGTTCTGTCAGAGTGGTTGTCGGAATCGTCGCCGGAAGTCCGATGTCGCCACCACCAACACCACCGCTACCATAACTAATATTGTCTTTGTCGTCACGCTCGAAAACTTCGTCGTCGCCCGACTGCAGCTGATCATCGTCGTCGTCGTCGTCCACGTAAACACCAATTGCACCACTGACTCCAACACCTGCGTCAACAACATGACCATCGCCAATGCTACCGACGACAACACTATGGTCATCACCAACACCGTCACCATTACCGTTACCACCGCTGACGACATCGCCGTCGGCGACAACACCTGAAACACTGTCCTCGCCACCGATACCGGAAGTTGACTCGTCATCGCCGTCCCCTCGTCCGTCGCCGGCGCCACGTGGCTCGCATCCGTACTCTTTGAGCGGCGTATAGATGACGGACACGACCGACTTTTGGTCATCGTCTGACCAACACTGGCTGTCGTCCGTGGCCGTTGTGGCCGTTGACGGGGCTGCGTTCTTCAGGGACTGTCTGACCCGGTAGCCTCGAAAGCCCGCCTGGATCTTAACCGCGGCAGCGTTCACCGCCTCCACGTACTTCCGGGCTCGGAATCCACGGTACACTGCCTGTATGGTGGTAGCAGCCCGATCGTCTGCACCATTGTCTTGCGGCACAACAACTGTCGCCTCCATCGATCCGTCGGACGATCCACCGCCACTGGCCGTCGATTTCATGACGACGATTTCGTTCCCGGGAAGATCGTTTTCTACTCCGCCGTCGCCTAGAAAACCAAATATTGTATTTTTTATGCATATATTTCATCGAGGATTTCGTAAAAAAATTTCGAAATACTGTCATTAACATATTTCAGATTCATGATTTAATTAGTATAATATTTATATTATATTTTTTTTATTCTACAACCATAACACCGAAGCTGGATTAAATTTTGTTTAAGCAACCGTGAACGCTAACCTAACCGTGTAGGTGGATAAACGATTTTATTATAATAAATTAGTTGTGTATAATAACAAGCAAGGTGAGACATAGTGAAATATTAAGTTTAATAATTGCGAAATATATTACTTTAAAAACGGCCCTACGTCTTATTAGACGTATTCGTAAATAACAAAACATATTTTATAGTTTTGGGGATTAAAATAATTACTGGACTAGAAATTTGAGTTGCATTAATATTAAAAGAGTAACACTATAAATAAAAACCATATATATATATATTATTTTTCAGATAATTGTGTATTAAATATTAGGCAGGAAATACAATAAAAATCTACGATATTTTTAGAAAATACATAATAATGATAATATACATTTATTTTCTGAAAAAGATGAATTTAATTTATAGATTAGTAGCCGTTAAGAGCATATAAAAAAAAATATGTAATTCATAAAAAAATTGAGCCTTAAGAATAATCATTTTTTTAATATTAGGAAGGACATAAAAGTAATAATAATATTAGCATTGGTTAGTAAGCAAATACATGCATCAAGATTATAAAGAGCAATTAAGCACACTTATGGTAATTGTACCAAAACAAATAAAATGCAATGTTTCCATCAAAAATATTAATATGCCCATTATTTTTAGTGCCCACTCTAACTTCCAACCAATCCTTAAGTTACTATGTTTTCAATCAAATTTTTCATTAATTGTAAAATATGTCAACAATTCCCAATACCTAAGTAATACCTATTCATACTTTTTATTAGCTCAAACATGGATGATCCGACGATGTTCTTAATTATATTTAATGTTTATACATACATAATTTAAAAAATGACACTAATATTAATCATTACTTATTTTATTTATTATAATTTTGTATTGCTTGTTTATTATCATATTTATATAAATTCTTATAATTTATTTTTAATGTTAATAAATGTATTTATTGTATTTTAGTATCATTAAATTTAGATGATTGAAAATTCTAAATTACATGCTAAAAAAAATCTTTAATCTGAGATATTTATATATTATTAAGTACGAGGATATTAGAACATTAGTCATTATAAATGTTAAGACATAATAAATACACTTTATCAGTATTCGGCATGTTTATATCATTTATAGGTATTATTATTAAAAAAAAAACTCTATACCTGTAAAATGACGAGAAATTAAAACATTTGGTACAAAGATTAAACAAAAATTAAAAATAAATAAGATATTATGTATAATAAAATTGTGTCGTAGGTATACAAATAACAAAAAAAAAAGACCATACTTACTATAATGTGGGTTTTATTGTTACCTCTGTCTAACAAAATCATGAAGATCGTTAAATATGTTCGACTTTTGAAATGTTTTAATAATTGTATTAATGAAATTTTAATTATAAGACGTCAAATTTAATTAATTAATTAAATATATTAACCATTTTCAAACTACAAATGATACCAATGAGTTCATTAATTCAACAGAAATGAAATCGAACTATTAAAAGTAGATGTGATTTTCTCAGGATATTAGGTCTCAATCGTGAAATAAATAGGTGGCATTCCAGTATTTAACACTTTTATACATTTGACTGTGGTAAAAAATGAGAAAAGGATGTACTGTTTATGCTCTTCTTATATTTAAATAATAAATTATAGGCAAAATTTCAAATTAAATTTAAATATTATTATACTACCAGAGTGGTTTTTAAATTTCTTTCTAAAAATTCTAGAAAATTACGATTAAGATAATTTATTAACATTTAAAAAAAAAAAAAATAAATAATTATTGAAAATATTATTTTATTTTGAAATTATCTATATATTTAAAAGTATGTATTGACAAAATTGAAAATAGTATGAACGTTCGCTGTTGAAATACTATGCGCCATCTACTGTTGAAACAATCAAATAACAAATACAATATTCACAGGAAATTAATCAAGAAGAGAAACTTTATTTTATTTTTAGATGATTTTATGCTTATCGTGTTTAAGAAGTTTCATATTAAGTAATATTCTAAGAACGATCATAAGTATGGTATGAATGTGTTCGTAGTTAATAACTTTTTAATAGGACTTTTTTATCATAATTTACAAGTAGGTACCTATATTACCTAATTTATGTAACTATTGCAGTGTGAGTCTAATTGTCCACCATAGGTACTGACAAAATTAGAGACTATTGAACTAAAGTGTGATATTAGTCAATCACTTTAAATTTTGGAAAATACACATATGTATAAGTACTACTGTTATTGTTACTTTTGTGTATACGCGATTATATTGCTAAGAATAAAGTTTCTTGCATTTTGACCTTTGAATAAAAATGTAAATATTATTAATACTAAAAGTTTTATACATTTCAAAATAATTATATTACTCTTATAAATATGGAAGAAAAAATACAGCTGTTATATACTTCGTTTGGTTTTATAATATAACATTACATTTTTATAAAAGTAATGTTATATTACAGTTTTGTAAAGATTTAAACGAAAATATTACATTTTAAATTTAAAAATAACTGTTAAAAGCATTAGGTTTAAACATTTAAATTAATTATTAATAATTGAAATTTTGTATAACAAAAATTATAATACTTGCGTTTTTGGTATAAATATTTACAGGAATAAACGTCATGTAGCCTTGTACATCAGTACTTAAGGTTAAGCATTATTTCACTGGATGGCGCTAATGGTTTTAAATGTGCTTGAATATTGTGGATTGTAGGTGTATTTCCATATATTATCACAAAATAATTCAATTACCATTCAATGTTATTATTGTAGAATAATCTAGAATCTTGGAAGTGTATAATTTTTTTTACGAATCATTAAAGATTGATAAGTATATCATTATATTTTAAAATTACTTATAATATTAACTCATCAAAAAATTATAAATTGTTTTCAAGAATCGAAGAAATATAATTATCTACTGCTAAAAGCGTTATATTCTTATTTATTTTACTATACTACAATATGTATATTCATGCAAAAAAATAGAAGACTTAAAGTATTATTTTACAAATCGACGTGCATTTTATTCATACAATATTATTATTACTAAGATTTATTCTATATTCCATATCAACAGACAGATTTACCGTACCATATTATGTATTTCATTTCATATCAAATAAAGGTAACGGAATTTAAAACAGTTCTAGGAATTCAGTGAAAAAATAAGAAAAATCATTATAGTTACTGGTGACTTTATCAAGTTTAAAAATTATATTCTCATTAAATATAACACAATTTACCTATCCCCTTTTTTTTACCAAAATCAGTAAAATAGTCAATATTGCTCCTATATATTGTCATATTCATTATTATACAATTTTTAACATAACGTACAATTAAATAAAATATTTTATTCTTAGCTATAAACAGGAAGTACCTATTATAGTTTTAAATATTAAAATATGTTGTGTATTCTTTAAATCTTTATTTTATATTTGAACTGAAATTTGACCATATACGTATTAAATCATGGATACCTTTACTGGGAACTCGTTTGTGTCATTTTTTCAATTAGGATTTTCATTAATACTTAGTGATATTACTACATGCTTGACAAGTACTATGAAATTGATTGTTGTACATTTTGTGGAAGCTTACTGGACCGTTTATTATTCTCTAGTTCATTTCAATTTGTTAGTGGTAGTAAATTGTGACATCAGGAAAATGTGTCAACAGCACATTAAAATAAATTAAAAGTACATGTTTTAAAATACAAAACCACTGATAGGTACTGTACGCAATCGTATTAAACTCCACAAAATACGTTATAGGATTAATGTTTCTTTGTCATTGTAAAATAAAAATGATCACAATGAAATTATTAATAGTTCATAAATGTCCTAACTAGTCGTACTCGACCTTTTTGTTTTGGGCCACATAAAATATGTTAAAATATTAAGCCACAAGTCTTAATTAATAGGAAGGAGGAGTTTTGAAAAAAAAATTTAATTACATTTATACATTAAACCATTTGATAATTCATTATAAAAAATTAAATATTTATTTAAATTAATGTAATTTTTAAAATTCAGACAATGCTTATAAAATTTACTTTTCTACATCAATTCAATGATTTTTTTTTTAGGCTATATAAAAATAATAATGGGCCACAGATTGAATTTGGCTGGTTCAACCGAATAATACAATACTTACATACAAATAGTTGATGTATATCTTCATTATATAGGTAAAAATAAATATAAGTTTAATTTTTGTATCATTTGGTATTAATAACGAATATAATATTTTTATAAACAATAAAATAATTACTCCTTTATTTCAGAACAATAATTTAATTTGTTTTTATAATATTATTAATAAATAAATAAACTCAATAAACTAAATAATTAATTTTTTTTTTTATATATATATTATATATATAAAAGGATCTATGTTTAAAATTTGATAATTTTTGTTATATATTTACGTGATTTAGTATGGGTACTAAATATAAGTCATCAAAGTATATTTGTCTTAATTTATTTATTTAAAAATGAAATATATTGCATTTTTTATTGGTTTCTTGAAATTAAGGTACATTTTTTAATTTATCTTGACTATAACATGTATTAAAAATATATTATATAATTGCATGTATTTGTAGTTAAATAAATTAAAGATACTCGCCTATTATTTCACACGTTATGATTTTAAGCTCACTCGTTTATTGTCGTCATAAAAGTATAAACTGAGAAGCATTGTTTTATAATTATTTAGTTATTTTTTTCCACTAAAAATCTTTTTATACTTTTTCAACTGTCAATATTAAAAAATAATATAAGTACCTATAAAATTAT